GGGTCGCTTTACTCCACCGCAACAAGATGAGTTGGTTAATGTCGAATAGTGATTACGTATCAATGAATAGACACCCTTTGATGTTTTGTTTCTTTTTTTGTTTAAGACAATCTTACTTAAGTTTTAGAGTGTTACTCTAAAATTTGTTTCATATTATGTCTGAATTTGAATATATTTGTTCTTAATTATATCATGTAAATTCTTATATTTTGTGTTTTAATTATAGTGATCTTGATACACAACACATCATCTGATACTTAAAACATTCACATTATATAATTAGATGTCATAGAGATAAGTATTAGATTCATAACTTTTTTTATTCAAATGTCATTATAAAGAACTCATTAGTTATGACATAATGTATATGATACAATAGATATGAGTCACAAAAATGTATATATAGTAAACACTTATGTATCATATACACATAAACTCTTTATTAGAATGTGATACATTCAAATTTGATTTTTTTAAACACAACATGTCACAAATTAGTTATCAGATACACCATTGGCACATAAAGATGAAAAAAATTAATGTATCATCCACATTTTTTCTTGATTACTACAAGTGCTTTATACATCTTCATTGATACATCATTAATATTGTCTACCAGATACACAATATTAACCTGATACATCTTATACAAATAAGTCATATACATGCGTTCGTTATATAAATGTATCTGATACAACTCAATTGTTAATCCATTTGTTACATGTATCATATACAATCAGATACAAAATAATGATCACACCATAACTCACGAAATTACTATACGCACTCTTCGTTTACTACTAATGTATCATGACTTACATATTCATATCAAGAGTTTTAGTATTTTTTCTTAACCTTCGACATACATAATTTCTCTAGATGTAGAAACAACGTAATTTATCAGATTTTCAAGTGAGGTATCCAACCTCATGTTTCTTTACCTCGTCGTACGACCTTACTCTCATATCATTCCTAATAATCAATGGAAAAGAATTACCTTATACCATGTATCGAATCTCAATTTTTTTTCTTAATGCATCAATATTTAATTCTGCCGCAATGGCTAAAATTAAGTTGATGAATGAAATATTTTCGCCAACAACGATTCCTTCACTTTTGTATCATTCATAACTAACCTCGTTATTTCAAGATTCCTGAATGCCTCAGCAAAATCAAAATATTCATTATGTATTTTATGAAATAATCGGCTACTGAGTGAACTACAACTACAACAATCATCATCTAATACTTGTAATCTTGTTTTCACAGTGTCGAGTGACATTGTCACTAATGCAGACACTCCATTAGCCATAGTTGCACTCAACCCTTGAACTGCAAATATTGCCTTTCCATCTGGCCTATAACTGCCCTTGTCGTCTTTCTTGAAGAAAAAAGAAAACTAATCTAAATATTAATCCATTTTTGCTATTAAAATTAGCTAAACGAAGAACAGGGAGAAGAGATTTGAATTTTCAATTTTCAATTGTTTTGGATTTGGTATGCTCTGTCAGTGGATAATTGATAATAATGTGAAACTGGAAAGCGTCAATCATGGGATCTGACTTTGATTTTCAAATTTCTCCCCTTATTACTCTTAACAAACTGTAGTTGATGTATCAACAATAATGTATCTGCCCAATTAGTTATGTATCCGGATGACCTTAAAAACATGGGATTTATGTAATTAGAAAAAGAGTAGGGATAGGAGGTAATTTCACTCTTACACTATGTGATTCTTAAAAATTATATTAAATAATATAGTAAGTCAATAACACGCGATATAAACAACACCAACCAGCATTTAAATACCAAACACTAAACTCTAGTGCTAAGTAATTTGTAACAATTGCTCAAACAAATCCATCAAGTCTTATGCCAATACCAGTCTGTCATAGGATACCAAAACACAGGGTTGAAGCTGCATCACAAACTCTAGTGCTAAAATAAGCCGATCTAAAAGCTCGATTGAAAGAATATAAAAGAAACCAAAATTATAAACCCATATCAAACCCAACCCATTGATGGTTCGTCAAAAACATCATTATAACCATAAGTTGTCATATTATTGTTATGTTGGCCATCATGTTGATGGAAGTCTTGACGAAAAGAAGGCCAACAAAAGAAGAGATATATTAGAACGCTATTACTGTTACTGCACTCTACACATGTAGTTACTGCTTAGTGTTTTTACTGCATAGCTGCACTATTTTGTTTTTTTAATGTGATAATGAGTGAATGTGAAAAAAAAAAAACAATTAGTGAAAATAATCTAACAATTTCATTGAAATAATGTTTTAGATGTTATTTTCATACCATCTTTGATCGCTAGAGATGCCTTAAAAACTAATCCATTTCCTTGTAGAAGTTGGTCAAGCTCAAATCAATCTTTACAAAAGGACAAGGGTGAAAGAAAGAAAGAAAAAAGTTGTCTTTGCCAAATAAAAATCAAGAGAGTTATTCCAAGCGAAGGCCAACCTATTCAAAGAGATCGAGAAAGCGGAAGAAAGAAGTTCTAGAGTTAGAATTTCATTTGTGTTTTAGAGTTGCATTGATTCATCTTTGAATCAGTGTTTAGAGTTTGTTCTTGGAGAGTAGAGTCATTGAGTGAGTTGTATCAAGAAGTGGGTTTGACTTCTTGCAGAGTAGAGTCTTGAGTGAGTTGTACCAAGAAGTGAGTTTGACTTTTTGGAGAGTAGGCTCTTCGATTATAGTTAGTCAATAGATAGTATAGGTACTAGAGTTAATTAGTTCCTTGATTATTGAGTTGTAATCTTAAGTTGTGCTTGAAGATAATAAAATTGTGGTGTGGTTTTCCCTTCCTTGAGGGAGGAAGGTTTCCATGATAAAATCTCTGTTTTATTGTGTTGTGTCTTTACTTAGGCAATTTTACAAGAACCCGGTTCTTTATTAGGGGTAAGGTCTCTTCAGTAGGAATTTAGAAGTGAATGAGATGGTTTGATTATGAAAACTGATTTTCTACACGTTTAGGGTAATTTGGATGACTTTCTATATGTTTCTAGGACAATAATACCCTTAAAAAAAATGAGTTGGGAGTGGGGATTTTACTCCAGCGGACAATGAGGTCCGTATTCACTTTGTAACGCGGATCATCGCGAAGTTATTGTTAGGTTAGAGCGTCTCTAGTAAATCAACCATGATGTTTTACTCAAAACTCTGATTGAGGCAAACTTGGTGGCATTGGAAAGATGATTCATAGAACTTTAATTTGATAGGTTATATGCCACCTAATTCATTATATTCTGAGAGATATGATTGTCTGAAGTTGACCTAAGTATAATCTTATATTGAAACTCAATCGGTAATAAAGATTTCAACTCAACTTTGTGCTCAAAGATTCTATTCACCTCAATTGATATCCAAAATCATTCCCCAACTAAAGAATTAACCTTAGCACCTAAGAAACATTAAGATTCACTCGGCACGACCTTATATGAATGAAGAATAGAACGGGTCTTAACTTATAAATATTCAGAGTGTAACAGTTAAGATTTAACATGTGAAACCTATTGGGGTTTATTTGCACTAATTTCTTACCATAAATAGCTTTTCCTTTTAGGAAAATGTTTTAATATTTTGAGTAGTCTTTTTCTTGTAGGAAAGGTTTTAGTACTCTATAAATATAGGATTGTTCCTTCTAACTTAATCAGCATTCACAATGTAGTCCTAGGGTTTTAAGAGTTACGGTTGTGATGGAGAATTTTGTGTACCTCCTTGTCTTCCGAGGGAATTGATTGAGGTTATTTCTCTCTATATTTTGTACTTTCATATTTATAGTGGATTGCTCATCTCCTTTGTGGACGTAGGTCGATTGACCGATGTTTACATCCCTACTCTATTCAAATAGGGAGAAACGTTGCGGTGACTAAAAAATAATCAGTTAATTGAATTTTGAAAGAATATTAAGAATAAACAAATTTTAAAGGAGTCGCCACCTAATTTTAGGAAAAAACTAGGAAACCATTAAGTGATTTACGAAACCAAGATTCTAGGTAAGGGGTTCAAGTTATTTCGAAGGAAAGGTGTTAGGCATCCTTCGAAATCCACAATTGTGGGTCCCGACTGAATTCATTTTTTTCGAATTGAGGAGGAGGTAAAAATAATATACAAATATAATAAACATGCAATATACACAAATAATAAAGTAAACAAGTAATATGACAAACAACCCATTATTTGTCTATTGTCAAAAATATACATAATAATGAATATAGTATTCGAACTTTATTCGAATGGCTTCGATGAGAAGCGACTTCGGGATACCTGTAAAGATACTTAGTAAAAGTGTTAGTACTAAATATATATAAATAAAAATAAATGAATCAAATAATAACTTAAAAATAAAAACCCGTCTTATTAACATAGGAAGTCTTGGAAATCGACAATAATTTCTTCATCGGCCAATTTTAACATACAAAATATATAAATTTAAACTAAATTTCCGTCTTCTAACAATGTGGAAGCCTTGAAAACCGACGAAAAGATTTTCGCATTGGCCAATTTTGACATACAACATATAAAACATAAAATCAAATTAAATTAACACACAAAATATAAAACAATATGCAGTTTCCTGAAAATAATAACTAATTGACATCAACAAATATAACTCAATGGGAAAATGGACCAAAACCACATTAAATTAATCTATAAAAAAAACAAAAGTAGAAGACATGTGAAACCAAATAAAGCAACAGTCAAACATAATCAAATTAAAACTGAATAAATAACACTAAGCATAACAAATATCTATTCTGGAAAGTTCAAAAGTTCATCTATTGTCAAATACTTTCTACCAATACCAAATAATAATAATAATAAAATAAAAAAATCATGACAATAACACCAAAACAATAATGATAATCAACAAAATCCACCGTGAATAAAATTATTTAAGAGACAATAGCATAAACAAAAATATTAATTAAATGTAAAAAATAAAGGAGGGTTACCGAAGGTAAGTTTTCCGGCCAGATTTGCAAATGGATTTCATTGGTTGCTCTCTGTCGGAGCTTGGTCGGTTGTCTTTTTGTTTCGAGCTCACCGGAGTTATTTTTGATGTCCTTTGTCGCTCCGGCGTGGTCACGAGCTCATGGGTTTCAGTCGGTGACCTGCAAAAAATAGAAGAGGAATCGTGAAAGGGGAAGAGGAAGGGGATTGGGCGCTGTTGTTGCTTTGGTGTAGTTTTCTGGTGCTTTCGGAGGTTGTTCCCGGTTGGATTTGCGGTCTGGTTTGGTGGCTGTTCGTTGTGCTCCAGTTCTTCGAAGCTGGAAGAGGACAGAGAGACCGGGGTTTTGGGTTGGAGACGAGGGTGGTTTGGTGGTGGATCTGGTTGGAGAAGAGGGGAAAACGGGGTTTTGGGTGAACCTGGTGGTTTTCTGGTTATCGTGGTGGTTTGGTGTGGAGGAGAGGAGAGGAATAATGGAGTTTTGGGATCATTTGGTGGCTGGTTGGGCGGCCGTTCCAGTAGAGCTGGAGGTTTGGTTAAAAATGGTAGTTTCACCGGAAAATCGAGGAGAATAAAGGGGGGTTTTGGATTGCTGAAACTTCGCCGGATTTTGGGGTAGTGGCAGCCGGAAAATGAATAGTAAAACCCCATTTGTGAATACAAAATCTGAAATTTTACAACCTTATTCTTAAAAAATAAATTCACCACCCCCTTCATTTTTTAATCTAATCCAAACTTAAATAGGAAAATAATTTTACAATGGGCTCAAATTGTGAGCTTGGGATTGTGATCCAAAATTATCAATCAAGTAAAATATTTGTATTTGAATGATATCAAAATAAATATCAACAAATGTAACAAATAAAATGAATATTAAAAAAATATATAATGAACGTAACTAATGACATGTAAAAATGCAATTTTAAGATTAACTGATAAAAGAAAAATCCTAAATTTTGATAAATAAGGGTAGTTATCGATAAACTTATTTAAAATTATAAAAAAATTATTTTGAACTATTAAATAAATAAAATTTAAAATTTACCAATTTTTGAAAATGTTAGGCAAAAATTGGGTGTCAACAGTTGTCCCTTTCATTGGATATGATTGATGAAAGAAATCGTGGACAACGAAAATTGACAAACCCAATTTTGGCCGAACACATGAGTATGGTTGGAATGTGGTGGAAGTCGATCCCGGACTTGCCTCCAAAAGGTTCCACGCTGTGTTGCGTCCTTGTTGAAATAGTCCGCACCTGTGGCTCAGTTGAGAATGCATCCTCTTGGATGTTCTCGAAAAAACAAAGATGAAACTCATCAATAGAGACAAAATTATAGGAAAAAAGGTAGCATCTCTTACGAAACTACAAATGAAGATGATCCATTGGTAGGATAAAAATGCATGTCCATCGGTAGGACAAATGAAGATCATGATCCATCGATAGGATTTTGAATGCATGTCCATCGGTAGGACGAATGAAAAAGAGATGATCCATCGGTAGGATTTTGAACGTATGTCCATCGATAAGACGAAATAAAAAAGATGATTCATCGGTAGGATTTTTAATGTATGTCCATCGGTAGGACGAATGAAAAAAGATGATCCATCGGTAGGATTTTAATGTATGTCCATCGGTATGACGAATAAAAATTCTTTCAACACAAGTCTCCTCCGACCTGATCGTGGAATAGATAGGGTGTACATCCTTCACTTTCGAATAGATGCGACTTAATGCAAATATCTTTTCAACGCAAGTTTCCACCAACTTGAACGTTGAATAGATAGGGTGCACATCACTCACCTCCGAATAGATGTGACTTAAATGCAAATATCTTTCAAAGCAAGTTTCATTCTACTTGAACGTTGAATAGATATGGTGCATCATTCACCTCCGAATAGATGCGACTTAAATGCAATGGCCTTCTCGGCGAATGAAAATGCAATGATCCTCTTGGGAAATTAAAAATGCAATGGCCCTCTTAGCAAACAAAAAATGCAATGGTCCTCTTGGCAAATGAAAAATGCAATGGCCCTCTCGGCAAATGAAAAATGCAATGAAAAATGACCCAATGATTTTCCACTGTAACGAGGTGGATGGTTCGATGATTCTCCACTGTAACAAGGTGGATGACTCGATGATTGTCCACTGTAACGAGGTGGATGGCTCGATGATTATCCAACTGTAACGAGGTGGATGGCTCGATGATTGTCTTGAAAGTGCCATCGCATTAAAGCTTTCACCTGTTCCTGTACTTGAAAAGGAACAATTAGTAGACACAAAATCGCCTTAGTTAGCGACTTAGTCAAGAAACCTTGAGAAAAGATTCTTTAAAAGAGAATGTGTACAAAATGCCTGATCAGTTTGACACATGTGAGCAATCAACATTTTACTCTTGACCATTTTGTGTTTATTGCGACTCATGTCTTATAGGGGATTTGTACTAGTAGTTGCTGGCTCACCATGACAATGTTGGAGATTTTCAAGTTGACTTTGAACTTCAAGCGATGATGGATCATTTGAAGTTGATTATCAATCTTCTAACAGTACTTGTTGGAATTTTTGAGGTCTTCCTCAAAAATTCTGTCCCAGTTAGAACTTTCTAGCAAATCTCAAAATGATCTCCAATCTTGACTTGCTGGAGATAGCACCTTTATTGTGAATTTTT